ATAGTGAGGAAACACTGGACCAAAGCAGGACTAAAAGCCAACTGGGCAAACTCCTTCAGGTCTCCACTCCTTCCAGTTCTCTCTTTCGGGCTAGTTCTACTTCCTGTTAGCAGCTCTTGTTGGCACATATCTCAAGGCTCTGGTATCGCCAACATTTTGGAGTCTTCAGGCAATTCAAGATTCACCTTTACAGCTTCATACAATGGCCTCTCTCGGCCTCCATGCAGGGACACCCCTGACACATGTCTGGCTTTGGTGGCTTTCCTTAGCTGTGGAGGAAGATTCTATAAAGCCTTTCTTCTATCTTTGACTTTAAAGCCAGAACAATGTGGCCTCGGCTGCCAAGTTCTGCTGCTTTCTGGGGCTGGAACATAGCCTCCTTGTTCAATTACATCTTCACCAGCTTTCTGTTTACAATGGTTCCTTCATTGACTAAGCTTGGCTTCCAGAAACTGAATCTGTAGACCAGGCTGGTCTTTAACTCAGAGGTCTGCTTGCCTGTCTGCCTTGACCTAAACTGTTCTTTAATTCCTTTTCACAAACTGGAAGCTGAGCTGGGTGGGGTCTGGCCCTCATCAGAGTCATCACTCCATTTATTCTTTTTGGCATCAGGCTTTCTTTAAACTTCCTGGTGCTCCTTTCCTCTTCACACTTTATATTTTGAATTTTCCCTTGCTCGAATTGCTCCTTTTCATTATAGATCTGCTGAAGACTGGTCACTGATAACCAAGCAACATAGCCAATGCCAGGTGGTTTTGAAATGTCCTCTGTCAAAGCTGTTAATCCAAACTCTTCAATTTAGCCTCAGACAGTTTGTTTGTTTGTTTTTGTTTTCAATTTTTGCTTTTTGGACAAGGGTAGAAAGCAGCCAGGGTCTCCAGGCCACATATTAATAGTCTTCTGTGAAACTCTTGAGTTGGGTCCCCACAGTTCAAATTATCTTGAACCACTAGGATGGCTCTTTAAGCCCTACTTAAAACATTTAACTGCTTTTCGAACCCAAAGTTTAAAGTACAAATTCCTCCAAACAAAAGCATCATAGGCCTATTGCAGCAATACCACAGTCCCTGGTACCAACTTCTGTCTTAGGGTTTTATTGCTGTGAAGAGACAGACCATAACCACAGCAACTTTGTTTTTTTCAAGACAGGGTTTCTCTGTAGCTTTGGTGCCTGTCCTGGAACTAGCTCTTGTAGCTGGCCTCAAACTCACAGAGATATCCTCCTGCCTCTGCCTCCAGAGTGCTGGGATTAAAGGTGTGAGCCACCACTGCCCGGCTCATAGCAACTTTTATAAAGGAAATTATTTAATTGGGGCTGGTTTACAGTTCAGAGGTGTAGTCTATTAACGTCATGGTGAGAAGCATGATGGCATACAGGCAGACTTGGTACTGGAGACGGAGCAGAGACTCCTACACCTGGGTCCACAGACAACAGGAAGAGACCAAGAGACACTAGGCCTGGATTGAGCTTCTGAGACCCCAAAGCCTACCTCTAGTGACACACTTCCTCAAACACCACCACACCTCCCAATAGTGCCAGTCCCTATGAAGCAATGGGGCCATTTTCATTCAAGTACTACAAAGTCTAATTAAGCAGATAGTTTAACAAAGTATTTTATTTATACTAGAGGCTAAATAGCTACAGATAGATGATTCCTCTGTCTGGTTTGCAAGTAACATTGAGATGATTTTATTTAAATTATTCTCTAAGCCATAATAATAATTGATATAGTAATCTTATAAGTATTGATCCTGTCTCACAAATATGAAAGTAGAAAGGCAAAATATCACATTTCATAAATAACTTGAATACTTGTTACTCTAAATCTGATCACACTCTGAATGTCTTGTGTTATGCTATTTTTCTCCGAAAAGTACATTACTTGAAAAAGTTGTTGCCATCTGTGTAGCTGCATGTTTAAGCACCCATCCTATAGAGACGGTCTTCCTTCGTGTAGTGAGGACTAAAGTACACTCTTGGGGGTGTTCTTCCCCTTACCAGGCATTGGCCTGTTCCTAGATCATAAGGCTCTGCACTATTTCTTTGTCTCTAGAAAGAAGAACACCAGCACATGTCAGAAATGGGCATTTTCTCAAACAGTATGTAATGTTCTAGAGGAAAAAATAGCAGATAGAATAGACAAAAGAACACTAGGAATCTTGAAATGCATCCTGTCCTATCCCAAGCTAAGGACATTGTTACATAAATCACTGTTCATACAGAAGAGGCTTTAGGATTAGATAACCAACAACTGAATAAACATTTGTACTTAAAAACACTATAGAAAAAAACTTTAAAATAGGCCAACAAGCTGCTGCTTCTGTGATATGATACAACATGTTTTAAACTCCCTAGGTTGCTGCAAGTATTTTCTAAAATAAGAAACAGAAAACAAATAAGGGAAAAGCTAGTTTAAACTTGGGTTATGACACAACATATATACAGCCAAATAGATTGAGTGACATGTCCAAGTTTTAGTAAAATCACAATTAGACCACCATACCCTAGCTTCTCAACTTTATTCCTAAGCCAGCAACCTTACCTTCTGCAGTTCTTTCTTGATATAAACCTGACAGCTCATTTTTTTCACTATCCATTATGCCTTCAAGTCCCTTCTTCTTTAATAAACCTAGATCCACAACCAAAGCCTTAATATTAATAACTAGTGGGTACAGTGCCACATACCTATAATTTCATCTTCTTGGGAAGCTGAAGGCCTGAGTACAAGACCAACTGAGCCACACAGTAAGACTTGTGTTTCAAAAACAAAGCAATAACATGCAACTCTAATAACTTCCTTGTATACATCTTCTAATCTACTGTACCCTTTCTACCAAACTTTTAGACAAACTTTAACCGTGGTTTAACTTACGTTTACTTACAAGAAAAAGTATTCTAATTGGTCTTATTCCTATTGTATGAGGCAGATACTGCAAGTTCCCAGCCAGGATCTATGCTTTCTTTTCTTACAAAAGAAATCTTGATTTTACTCAGGAAATTTGTATACCTGCTAAAATGCTATACCTCCCAGGCTCCCTACAACAGGGATCTGTGACATTAGAATTTACAATTCTGATGAGTTATGAGTTAGGGAAAGATCTTTCAAAGGACCCAATTCACTCAACAGATGTGGTTCTAGAAGAGTCACCCGTTTACACAAGGAAAACAGCACTCCTGGAGATATGTAAACAAAAAAACAGCCCTGAGTCATAGTACTGCTGTGCTCTGCCCTGAACTACCTGCCTTCCATGTTTGTGTGACCTGAGGATAATAAAAAGTCTTATTATCTTTAAAATAATGCTTTACTGGTATATTTAAGGTATCCAGCATGATATCATAGGATACACACAGATAGTAAGACAGTCAACACACTTAAATCAACTCACATAGTCATTTTGTTTTTATGGCAAGAACAAAAGAAGAAAGCCATTCTTACATACTGTGAGTTGTTATGTTAGAGTTTCTACTATTTACAATAAACACAATTCCTGACTTGTTGGCCTATTCCATTTCTAACACAGTAACTAGAGACACTTTACACTTGCATTAGGATTGCATTGTCCATGTCCCATTAGGCTCTTTACCAGGTTAACTACATCTTTGCCCTGGCCCTTCAACATCTCTCAACTCATTTCCTATAACCCTCACCTGCTTCCGTCCTGCTCACGTTTGTATGTTCAGACACACAGAAGTCCTTGTGCACTGACCACACCCAACTGCTGGTCCCTAGGCCTCTGCAGGGCGCCTTCTCATGCTTTACCTGATTTGCTTCTTTTAGGACACAGTCTTGCCTCTGAAGTAACTTCCCTAACCACTCTTTCCAAAACTGCTCTAATGCTCCCTCCCACTGCTTTCTGACACTTCTGACTGCTTTACTATGTAAAATCATGATTTCTTGTCTTACCCCCAAAAAGGAATCTCCCTGAAGACAAGAACCTTGTGTGTCTTCTTTTACACTGTATCCCTAGTGAGCATACGTGGTGCTCAATAAACACACTGAAGAGTGTGTGAGTGTGTATGTGTGTGTGCGCGCGCACGTGCGTACACACATGGCTATATGGAAGAAGTGTCTAGCCAGCCATGCCCTTCCCACCATGAGTGAGCAATTGTAGTGCAGGGAGAGGACTAGGGAGGGTTGACATCAAACTTCTATAGGCCAATCTCAGACAATTAGTTTGAAATTAAAACAAACAAACGAACAAAAGCAACAGTTACAGGCTGAAGCTGGAGTTCAGTGACAGAGTATATCCACCATGCCCTAAGTTCAATATCCAATATTTAAAAAAAAAGATTATTATAACACAGTTAAAAGCTTCCCAAATAGTAAGAATTTTGTAATTAAGAGACTTTTTCAACTGCTCACTTAGGATTGTAAATAATTAGGTAATAATTCTGCATGTGGGCATTACTTTATAAAGGTAAATAATCTACTTAATCAGAATCAGGCATTGTCATAGAATAAAGGCAAGATGTGGCGATTGTTTTTCTCACAGTGATAAGTGCTTGGAAGAAGGGGCTCAAGGAGGAAAAGGTTTATTTTGTCTGATACTATGGAAGGGTACAGTCACTCATGGCAGGAAGGGCATGGTTGCGGGTGGCCATGTAGTGACAGGCACATGTCCTACGGCCTCCATTACAATTCTCCTGGAGTACTTAATAAATTAAAAACTATAAAAATAACAGTAGTTACAAGTAATTAGAAGTGCTCACAAGAAAAACTAACACAAACAATTATTAGCAAGGGCTGTTTCTTGGTAGAGTGTGATAGCCCCTCTAAGTTACACTTTCACCTGTGAAAAGACAACTCAAAAGATCTTAGTTAAGTTCACTTCTAGTGTGGCCTTAAATCTATATGGGCTGTTATAAAGTAGTATATAGAAAGACAGACTATGAAGAGTAAATTTTTAAAGGCCCAATGAATCAAAAGTAAGCATTCTTTAATGTCAATATTTCAGTTAACTTCGAGAAAATAAATGTCATGCTAATATGTACACTGTACCTTTCTTAGACATTCATACTCCTCACGAAGTTCTCCAGGCTTGCTCAGTTTGATTGGTGCTCTGAATATAAACTCTGGAGGAAAAGGAAAATACTTTCAAATAGAGTTTTGTAAGAAGGAACCATGACAATGTTCTAACGCTGACCACCACATTATAAATCACATTAAAAATTATGCTTTGTAAGCCGGGCGGTGGTGGCGCACGCCTTTAATCCCAGCACTAGGAAGGCAGAGGCAGGCAGATCTCTGTGGGTTCGAGACGAGCCTGATCTACAAGAGCTAGTTCCAGGACAGGCTCCAAAAGCTACAGAGTGGTTTTGTTTGTTTTTTGTTACAGGGACTCAGTATATAGCTCTAGCTGGAACTCACTATGTAGACCAAGTTGGTTTTGAACTCTGTCTGTCTCTGCTTCTGTGCTGGGATTAAAGGTGTGTGCTATCACATCTGGTTTAAAGTATGGGTGTCTTAGTTTGACTATTCCCTTATTCATTAAGTCAATATTTACTAAAGGTTATATAAATCAGGACTGTTCTAAGCATTGGAAGAAATATAAACAAGTACAGTCCTTGTGCCATGAATTACAATCTTGTGGAGGAGCCGACACAGGTAAGCAAGCGTTTCCTTCTGAATAGTGGCAGTAAATGCTATAGAGAGGAAGTCAATGTAGGGTGGATGGAAAAGTCTGTTTTATACAGAGTGGTTTGGAAAAGGCTCGCTGATAAACATGTCAAAAGATTACAAAGAAAACTATATTTGAAGCCACTGTGTCCTCTCCCTCCCTCTTCTCTCTCTCTCTCTCTCTCTCTCTCTCTCTCTCTCTCTCACACACACACACACACAGAAATGCAATCTTTTTAAGTATGTAACGTATTTTCTTTAGCCCCAAAGTCTTGCGTGACTCTCATGAGCCTAAGGAACAAAGACACTACTTCCCAGTGTGCTCTTCAAGGTACTCCACTAACTGATCATCTTTTCAAAATCCCTACATTGCTGAATCCTTGAATAATTAGCCACAAAACAGAAACTGTATACATTAATTTGTATGCTGTTTCCCCATCTAAAATTGTATCTTCTCTCCAGTCTGTATATATTTCTAAATTGAAGACAGGAGGACTATAAGATGCATAAAGTACATGAGAGTTATGCAAATGGACAATAAAATGAAAATTGAGAACAGGAATAAAAGTTAAGTCTTAAATGTTATCAAAAAGGGAGAGCCAACCATGAAGGTACATGCCTGGAATCCCTGCACTCAGGAGCCGAAAGCAGGACTGCCATAAATTCAAGAATAGCCTAGACTACAGAGCAGGAACCTAATTTTAGAAAGGATAGAGGGGTAAACACTTTATTTTTATAAATATGATAATAGCTTACAGCCTCGAGATGTTTAGTGTTCTAACTATAGCAATAGTTTTATAATTTATTGATAACTCTACCTCCCAGTGTTGGTTCTAGAAAAACTAAGTTCCTCAAAAGCCCTTTGTCCTTTTTCAGTAGTCTCAACTATTTTCAAAAGAAAGTATACTGAAGAATAAGGAGCTACTTAGAAACACTGGCGTAAAGACCTCCACCCACAAAGAAGACAGACAATCGTCACCCCCTCAAGGCCTGATGACTGTTTCAGTCGTACCCCAAAGCGCATTCCACTTACAAGAAGTGCGTTTAAAAGTTGATGCTCTTACAGAGAAGAGAAGAAAAGAAAAGATAGAAAAACTCATTTTTAAAAAGTACTTTAGGGGCTGGAGATGGCTCAGCCGTTAGGAGCATCGGCTGCTCTTTAAGAGGAACCTGGGTTCAGTTCCCAGGACCTACACAGTGGCTCACAGTCATCTGTAACTCCAGTTCCAAGGAATCCAAGCCGTCTTCAGGTCTCTACAGGCACCAGACACGCGTGTTATATACAAAAATACCTGCAGGCCAAACACTCATCACAGAAAACATCTTTTTTTTAAAGAAAGTACTTCAGACACAGGTACTGAAAACAGTGAAATGTTCACAGAAACGTCACCGTAGGCACCAACCCATCCTACAACTGAGGTAGGCAACTGGGAGTCTCAAAGGTTTGCTTACCACAACACCACAGGAGCACGGCAAAGATGGAAGAGAAATTTCAACAGGAGGAAAAGGAGAAATTATTTAATAATTTAAAAGGCAATGCTTTCAAAATTAAGGCCAATCTCTCTCATGTACTACAAAAAGCACTGCAGCGGTACCCTCCTGAACAGTCTTCCTGGCACACCTGTGGAAGACAGTCTTGAATGTGAACTGATGCAGGAGGACCCAGTCCACTGTGGGAATATGCCCATCACCATTCTCTGAGCAGGTATTCTAGGCTGTGTACAAATGTGAATGAGCCAGCAAGCAGCATTCCTCCATAGTTTCTGCTCCAAGTTTCTGCTTGAATAGGCATTTAAAGGAAACCCCTTTCTACCCTAACTTGATTTTAATCAATATTTCATAACAGAAAGGAAACTAATATGTTTCCTTTCTTACCTAAAAACACAAAATATTCATTAATAAGGAAACAGTCATGAATTTACAAGAACCTACAACACAGCACACAAACAAAATTTAAAGAGAAATTAATATAAAATTATGGTAAGAAATTTAATATACCACAAGTAAAATCATGCATTAAGCAAACCAAAAGGGCAGCAAAAAATAAACAGAAAAATGCAAAATATTACATTTGATCATATTTACATATATATGTACCCACCTAATGAAGAGTATTTATTACTTAATGAAAAACAGAAACAATTATTTATAATATACTATGTTACAAAGACATTTCAAACAGTTTCAAAAAATCTGTATTATAAAAATTTTCAACATTGGCTACCATTTTCCAAGTTGAGCTTTCTAGTCATGCACCTGCCAATTGCTATTCAATATTCTTTCTCATTAAATCCCTTTTCTGAATAAATTTGCAAATGTAGATTTCTGTTTAGTACAACTAACAAGGTTAGCTGTTTCTATTTTTCACATAGTACTCTGAAATAAAGAGTAAACCAGGAGCTAGCAAAACCAAGAAGAAAAGGAGAAAGATTTTGTTTTAAAAAGACCTAAGTGCAGGTACCATACTGGGCTTCAATCTGCAGTGACCGCTAACGCTACAGTGACTGGTGTTGCATATATGCTCCTTTGCATGGCTGCTTGTTATCTACAGAACAAAATGTTGGCAATGGAACGTTGCTTTCTAACAGATAACAGCTCACCTTCCTAAGACCACATTGGATCATGGTCCCACTAGCACGGCATGAACTTGCCATCTGTCCAGCACACCAGTGCTGAAACTTCAGCTTTGTCAATCTAAGAGGCAACGATGACATTCCATGGGTAAAATTGAGAGGGCTTTCCACATAGCTAAAAGCAGCTTAAGCTTCCTCTGAGCTCTGTTCCCTTTGTTGCTCACATAAACTCACCCTCTTGATTTGCTAGAGTTCCTCTGTATAAGTCATACCATCTGAAGAGCAACACTTTCAGTAGACTCTGTGTATGGCAGAAATTCTTATGCAATAGATACTCAATTTTCTTTTATTTTTTTAGAGATGAGCTCTTTGCCTGGAACTCAGAGATCTACTTGCCTCAGCGTCCCAAGTGATAGAACTGGGACTAAAGGCATGCATGCCATGCCTGGTCTCAAATTGTTTTTTTTTTTATGGCTTCTGCATTTTGTGTATTTGGAAGACCTTGAGATCAAGACATAATCAACTCTATTATATATAGTCCCTTCTGGTACAACCATAACAATCTTCTCAGATTCACTTTTTAAAATTCCAAGTATTTTGAGAAACAACATAACAAACATAATCTTATTCAGGCTTATAAATAAGACTACTATCTAACACAAGAGAATAAAAATATTTTAGTGACACCTTGGGAAAAATGACAACTGAGTTTACCATTAGGAAATTTTCTCTGTCTAAGACAGGTCTTGATGGTTGTCAATCTCACAACAAACTATTATTTTGTATAAATAGTATACACTAATTTTAAAAGTAAGTAAAATTTTCAAGTTTCAAGCGTTTAATATCTTCATCTTGTAAATACTCTAAACTTAAAACTTGACTGTAGACAAGAATCAGAGCCTCAGATGATGCAGGCTCAATTTCTTCTTTTATAAAATCAGACTAATAGTAAATACAACCTAATTGATATCAGCCACTGTAGGCTATGAAGATCAAATGAGAATAAGAAAAGTGAAAACACTGTAAATTATTTCTGACAGTAGAATACAGCATAATTTATTAAATATAAAATTATAGTTGATTTTTGTGGTGTAATGCTCTTATAACTTGGTTTTATTAGCAAGTTAAATTTATAAGAAACACAGATTTAGCTGTTTTATATGCACATTCCACAAAAAGCTATATTCACTGTGGTACATTTATTTAAAAAGTCGTATAATGTTAAATAGGAGCTCAACACCTGGCATCACAGCCCTGAGGGTGGGCTCATAATATCAGGTTCACACACTTGCTCTGTCAATTGTTGTGGGAGCTCCTTCCACTCCTTCAGCCAATAGCCTAAGATACCAGCCCACTTGGGCGTGGTCTCTTTACTATAAAGGCAGTTCTTGCTTCCGGCTGTTAGACTCTGTTCCTGTTCCCCATTCATGCAGAGGACTGTTATCTAGGACAGTGATTTGTGAGTCTCCCCTAAATAAATAACCCTTCATTGTTCATAATTCTGAACTGGTATGGGATTATTTTGTAACTTCCACCATCAGTCAATAATGTCAAAGTACTCAGAAATGTCAAGCTTCTCTTTGCCTCAGTCTCCTTATCTATCAAACACAAATCAACATATTGGCCAACTTATCTCATATGCAATTAGACCACAATTATTATGATCTATCATATCTTACTATCTTGTTTGCAATCAAAAGACAAGAATAAGGTGCCATCATATGTCCACTAACATTAGAACAGAAATAAATCATCTTAATATTGGGTTAAAATAATTTAAAAATGCAAAATGCTAAACTAAGCATGATGGTACATTCAAGTAATCCCAATATTCCAAAGGGTGAGACAGGAAGAATTTGTGTTTGAGGCCAGTCTGGGCTACA